TGAGAGAGAATGTGATTTATAAGCCCTATTATATATATATATATATATATTTAAATATTACTTGCATGCTAATCCTAGTTAATAAGATTTAAGTTTTTCGGTACTTGTCGTTGAAGCAAGTGTAAGGACTTGATAGATCGTTACATCAATCATCTTAAATAATTATATTTTATGTTTCCTTGGATACTTATTTTTTCTACTTTATGGTTCCTTTCATATTTATCTCTAAATTAAATTTAAATATTTTTACAGAAATTATCAATAATTAAAAAATCTTATATCAAAAAATATTTTTATTATAATTTTAAAATATAGTTTGTATATTTAAATATATTAATTTATTATGATTTTCTATTATAATATACTTTATATATTTTAAATATTAATTGATTACAAATTTTAATATTATATATATTATGTAATTAATATTAATACGCCTATTAAAACATGTAAAGAAAGAGTCATACATTGTTTGTAAACTATATATTTTTTTATTTTTTATTCAAAATTCAATTTAAGTCTTTTGGTGGTCTTACTCAATTGGTTGAGTAACTGCGAATTTCTTGATATAAAATTAATTTATATAAATAAAAAATGAATGAAATTGAGAAGAAGAAAAAAGAAAGAATGAAAGAAATAGAAAAAAAAATTTATATATATATATATATCCATTTGTTGGTTGCATAAAAATAAGATTGGAAAAATAAATAAATTTTACCCTTTTACTTTATTCTTAACATAAAAACATTTACTATTTTAATATTTTATGTCTCAAATAATAGTTTATAAAATTAAAAAAAAAATCATTCCCTTTATTTTTATGTTAATTTAGAAGGGGGAAGTTTTTTTAGTTGGCTCCAAAAGAAAATATTTTTTAATTTCTCATCTGAAATAAATAATATGAATTTTTTTCTATTTTTTTTTTCTTTCTTATTCTCCATCTATAAAACAACCGGAAAATTAATGACATAATTCTCTAACACAAGTATATATATATATATATGAGGTGGGTTTAAACGCGGTATAACTTTTATTAAGTATTATACCGTTTAATAATTTTATATTGAATGTGAATTTTATAAATCTAACCGTTAGATTGAAAGTTCATATCATTTTATATGTGTATATCAAGTTTTGTTAAAATTGAACAACAACTTGAAGATAATCAAAGTGTTCATATTTTAGTATATTTTGAAATGAATATATTACGTCAATTTTGTTTTATAAGAATGAAGTATCAAATCATCATGAATTAATATAAAATTCACATTTAATATAAAGTTATTGAGCGGTATAATACTTAGTAAAAATTACACCGGTGTCATTTGAACCTTCCATATATATATACATACATATAATTAATTAATTATTGATATTTAAATACTTAAAAAATGATGCATATTTATCTTTTAGTGTTAATCATGATAAAATCTAATAACCTAATTATACCTATTACTTTTACAAGTATTTATATGATAATAGATTTAGACTAAATTTTCCGTTTGATATTCTATAGTATTAAATTTGTAGTTTTCGTCTCATTATATTTAATTATATAATTTTAGTCTTTTAATTTTTTAAAATATGCAATTTTGATTATCTAATTGGATGTTTATTTATTGATGATTAAAACTGTAATATTAATCATGATTTTACATTAATTAAATAATATAATAATTAATATTTAGTAATATTTAAATTAAATTTTATTTTTATCTCATAAAAATAATAAATATGAGATTAAAAATAATAAAAATAATAATTAAAGAAGTAAATTAGGCTAAAAATAATTAAATATTAATCGTCAACTATCCAATATTAAGTTATAACTAATGTTATAATTTTAATAATTAATGAAATGAAAAAATCAAACAGATTTTATAAGGTTCAAGAACTAAAATTACAGAATTAAAAATAGAGATTAAAAATATAAATTTGATATTATAGAAATACAAAAATTGTAATTAAGCCATAAATTTATTATTCTTAAATTATAAAAATCATTTGATATTTTTTATTTAAAATTTAGGATAATTGGTAAAAGACGCTATGAAAGAATTTAAAATTATTGAATGCTGGTATTTGTCCAAAATAAACGTAATGAGGAAGGTAAGTAGCACAGTGAAGCAGACATGGTTTTATTTTTCTTTTGGAATTGAAGTTAAAGCAGCATTAGATTAGAGTAAAGCAACTTGTAAGATTGATAACCCTTATAGATATTGATATATTGAGTACATATATTCTATAATCCAAAATATATTATATTACTATCACTATAAATTCGCATATCTCATATATTCAAACCTTTACTGTTTAAAGATATACGTTCAATACTAATTTAATATATTTTGATCATATAATCATGTTAAAAATTATTAAAGTCAACTTAATAATAATGGGAGATTAAATGATATGGATATGTATATATCAATGGTGTTGTTTTGTAATTTTGATCAATCAAAGAAAAATTATTTTAGATATTAAAATTTATATTATGTCATATTTATAATTAACTTTTTAATATATTTACATCATAATTGATATATTTGTATTTTTATATGAAAGTAAATTAATATACACTAATTGAGTCATTAGTCTTTATAGTATCGATGAATTTAACCTCTTTAAATAAAATATCAACCGAATTTGACTCTTATGAGTGAAAAAAAAAACACTATTGAAATTAGAGAGAGGAGATCCTACAAAAGGTGACCAACCAAGCTTTTTAGTAGAGTTAGATTAATTATCGATGAATGAATAGATATTGTGTGTCAATAAAATATATATATATATATATATATATATAATATATATAACGTTCGCTATTTATTACAAATATTTATATGGAAAAAATTCAGGATATATATTAAATAAATTATTTGATTTATTAAAAAAAATACTTTTGACTCTTACTTGAAAAATATCTTAAATTTATAAAAAAAAATCTTAAATCCACAACTTAAATGTTTATGATTTAATATCCCAATTTAATTTATTAAAAAACATATTTAAAAAGAATATATTAATAATTTTAAAATCATAGTTTAAATGATTTTAATATCAATATGTCATATGATATATATATATATATATATATATATATATATATAATATTAATATATACTAATCTATATTTAAACTATTGGTTTAAATTTTGGTTCTTGTTTAAGTTATTTTTTTATTTAGTAGTAGCAAATACACATTCTTTGATTTTTCTCTTTTATCAATAGAAATCACAAACATAATAATTAGACTCAAATCTAAAATTTTATACATACTATCTCAATTGTTCATTACTAAATTGTCCCCTAGTGATTTATACATTATTTTGATATATGAATAAAAATTATTATTATTATAATTCAAACAGGTCAGTGTAATTATATAAATTTAAAATATTATGAAATAATAATATATGAATATACTAATAATATGTGTGTATATACATAATAACATAATATATATAATTTGTTATATAATAGTAGTAAATATATATATATATATATATATATATAATTTGTTATTAATAGTAGTAAATATATGTACAATTTTTTAATTTCAATTAAGTTGTATACATAATATTTTTATTTATATATTAAATATATTTATTGGTCTATTGATTAAGTGTTGTTGTTGAAGTTAAATTTAAGGATTTTTTTAAAGAATTACAATAACAGTAATAAAATTTGAATTTAATATCATATTTATACTACTTCAAAATCTCTCCATTAAGCTTGGAAAAAAGTTCTTATTCTATATATTAAGGGTTTAAATATTATCTTTTAACATGTTTTCTCCTCTTATTTATACGTGTTTAACTAAATCCGTTAAATTTTTAACAAAACACAATCTTACAATTTTCATATTTGAGAAAGTCAATATACTGAAATTTTATATGACAAATACAATACTTGAAGAATAAAAATACATTTAAATCTTATTCATAAAAAAAATATACAGGTCTATAAAATAAAAATAAAAATAAAAATAAAAATAAAAATGGTTATCTCTCCTCCTAAGGAAAATGTGTAATATACCGTATGGTGGCCGACCAGGCCGAATACTCGAGCCCGAGAACCCGAACTCGCCGACCACTCGCGAAGCGAACAGAACACTAAGGCCGAATACCCGAGAACTCCGACCGCTCATAGATCGAACGGCACGTTCGGTGCACTCGGTCGAACCCCATACTTGCGCCAGGATGATTACGGAGAGCTTAATTAACATAATATATCGGATTAACCCCCCTAATTTTTCGGGGCCCAATCCCTAATCACGGCCCAATAAGAACACCTATAAATAGGACCCCAACGAGGTATGTAATCAACTTTTAACTACCGCATTTATTACGCCGAACACTTACTTGAGCGTTGGAGTGTCTTTGCAGGCACACCCTCCCCTCACATCGGACTACCCAGATAGGAACGAGAAGACCGAGACCTAGGATCAGACCCGCTACAACAAGGATAAGTGAAGTGTGTATCATAATATAGGAACATTTGACGCCCACCGTGGGGTCGAAGCGATTTTTTCAGCCCCTTTGAACTTTACGACTGAGACCAAGATATGGTAGTAACGCGCAAGGGACAATCAACGACAACTCAACCGATTCCTAATCCCGAGAGCAATCCCACCATGAACAACCAAGAACGATACCCGTACGGAATGCCTCAGACCCAACCGAAACCTGTGATACAAGAGGCCCAACCAAACACCGAACGAGCTCAGCCGGACCCCCAAGATGACATGCGCGCACTGCGCGAAGAAATAGCCGCCATCTGAAGACAGAGGGAGGCCGATGCCCGAGAGCTGGCTGAGCTGCGTCGACAAAATGTCGAGCTCCAGAGTCTGAATCAAACATACGTGCCATCAACTCCCACTCTCCAAGAGGAGTCGGCATACCATGCCCCAACCGACCAGGTGACCCGAACACCAGTCACCTCTCTGACAGGTAACAAGGCCGACACCAGCGTTCACTCCTTAAGACACCCATTCTCACGAAGAATAATGGAAGCAACCCTGCTGGATCATTGGAAGAGTCTTCCAATCGAAAAGTATGACGGATCTACCAACCCCGATGAACACCTGAACGTCTTCTTGACGTAGGCGACCCTCTCCGCTCAAGATGATTCGGCTTTGTGTCGAATATTCCCTACGTCGCTGAAAGGAAGAGCCCTGAGCTGGTTCACGAGATTGCCGAGCTCTTCCATCGACTCGTTCAATGAGCTGTCATCTCAATTCACTCTCCAATTCACGACGAGAAAACCGTACAGGACGACATCGTTAGCACTACCGGGGGTCCATCAAGAAAAGAAGGAAAGTCTGAGAAGCTTTATGGACTGTTTCAACAAGATTGTTATGGAGATCAGTGATCTTAACCCTGCCGTGGCATTGGACCGGCTGAGCACCGCTCTGAGGCCCGGACGTTTCGTAAACAGCTTGTGTAAAAAACCACCAGTTGATATGAATGATCTCCGGCGCCGAGCCGAGAAGTATATGCAAATGGAGGAACTTGCGGAGACCCGGAATCAGGCCAGGGCCGAAGAAAATTATAGCAGAAAAGAATCTGGCCGAGAGCAGGTGAGAAAGACGAATGCCGAATCCTCGAATACCCGCCCCCGGAGAGGACCTCGCTACGCGGTGTACACTCCCCTCAATGCGAGTAAGGCCAAGGTGATGGAGCAGGCCCTCAAAATCCTCGCGATGCCAAAAAGGGCGAACACACCTCCCAGAGCCGACAAAGCCAAATCATGCCGATTCCATCGAAACAGGGGGCACTCCATTGAAGAATGCTCGGCGCTGAAGGACAAGCTCGAGGACCTTATCAAACAGGGTCACCTCAGAAGCTTTATCAGCCCCCATGACCACCAGTCAAAGGAAAGAGACCACCACTCTCGCGAAGCTCGTCTGCCAATCGATCCCGTTCGGTCGAAAGGCAAGATCGATCGCAGCGCTCCAGGGAAGACAATGACCGATCACAGAAGGTGATCAACACAATAGCCGGAGGTTTCATCGGAGGCGGGTCCACCTCTTCAGCACAAAAACGACACATCCGTGCCGTCCGATCAGTGAACAGTGTGAACCAGCCGAGGATGCCGAGGATGCCACCTATAACCTTTTTCGACCGGGACTTTCGTGGCGTCGACCCCGTACAAGACGACCCTATGGTGATTTCGGTCGAAATACACAACTGCATCGTGAAGAAAACGTTGGTCGACCAGAAAAGCTCGGCCGACATCTTGTACTAGAATACTTTTGTGCAGCTTGGAATCCCGGAGGAGAGCCTAGAACCATACCACGAACCACTGGTAGGCTTCTAAGGCGAAAGAGTGATGACGAGGGGATGCATTGACCTGTACACCCATTTCGGGTTCGATCAAAAGTCTTTCCGGGAGATCAAAATCCATTATATTGTGGTGCACGCGAACACGTCGTACAACATTCTTTTGGGCTGACCTTCAATCAATGCGTTGGGGGCCATTGTTTCGACACCTCACCTATGCATGAAATTTTCGTCAAGGGATGGGCAGGTAATCACCGTGCACGCCGACCAGAAAACAGCAAGAGAGTGCTACCTCTCTAGCTTGAAGGTGCAACCTATTGCCGACCCCTAGACGACGACAAGAGGTGTGAATGTGGTCAGACAAGAGATGATCGAGCACATCGACCTCGATCCTCGGTTAGGAGACGAAGAGTGAATCGAGCCCGCAGAAGACCTCGTCTTGTTTCAGCTGGGTCGAGTACCCGAACATGTCACGCACTTGGGATCCCAATTGAGTAAAGCCGATTCGAACCAGGTGAAACGAACGGTTCGAGATAATAAAGAGCTATTTGCATGGACGACGTCAGACATGCCAGGGATAGATCCCAAGTTCTTGTGCCACCGACTGGCTGTCTGCCGAGACGCCCGACCAGTTGCCCAAAAGAAGAGGAAGATGGGAGACGAGAAGAGAAAAGCCGCGGATGCCGAGGTGCAAAAACTGTTACACGAAAAGTTCATCCGAGAGGTCACATACACCACCTGGCTAGCTAATGTGGTGTTAGTTAAAAAATCGAATGGGATGTGGAGAATGTGAACCGACTACACCGACCTTATCATAGCCTGCCCCAAGGACGCCTACCCACTCCCATGCATCGACTGACTCGTCGACGGCGCGTCCGGACACGCTATCTTCAACTTCCTAGACACTTACTCTGGCTACAACCAAATCAAAATGCACCCAGCCGACGAAGAGAAGACGGCGTTTATAACCGAGAGCGCCAATTTTTGTTACAAAGTAATGTCGTTTGGGCTGAAGAACGCCGGGGCGACCTACCAGAGGTTAATGGACAAGGTATTTCAAGGTCAGATCGGCCGAAACATCGAGATCTATGTGGATGATATGGTGGTCAAGTCCAACTCTCTGGCCGATCATTTAATCGACTTAGCCGAAATCTTCGATGAACTTCGCAAGCAAAACATGAGACTCAATCCCGAGAAGTGTACATTCAGGGTCCAAGGAGGCAAATTCCTAGGTTTCATGTTATCGGCGAGAGGCATAGAAGCGAACCGAGACAAATGTCAGGCCGTGTTAGACATGCGAAGCCCAAGCAACCTCAAGGAATTGCAACGCCTTTTAGGAAGATTGGTCGCCTTATCCCGATTCCTCCCACGGCTAGGCGACAAAGTTAGCCCGATGACAAAACTCTTGCGGAAGGCTTTGGCCTTCTCATGGGATGAACAATGCGAAGCCACCTTCGCAGCGTTGAAGACGACCTTGGCGACGCCATCGACCCTCACGAAACCTGATCCTCTGAGTTCGCTACTTGTATACTTGGCCGTGTCCGAGGGGGCGATCAGCTCGGTTCTGGTGCAAGAAAAAGAAGGCACCCAAGATCCCATATATTTTGTCAGCCGACTACTGCAAGATTCAGAAACCCGGTACCAGTTGATAGAAAAAGTGGCACTCAGTTTAGTACACACTTCCCGACGCCTACGTAATTACTTCCAGAGCCACCGAATTGTCGTACATACTGACTGTCCAATCGCTAAGGTGCTAGGCAAACCCGAACTCGCCGGAAGAATGATGGCCTGGTCGATAGAACTCTCACAGTTCGACATCACTTTCAAGCCGAGAGGACCGATCAAGGCTCAATGCCTGGCCGACTTCGTGAATGAGCTTCACCCGCATGGCCAATTTGAGGAACATTGGTGGACCCTCCATGTAGACGGCTCCTCAAACAGCCAGGGGAGCGGGGCAGGGGTGATTTTAGAAGGACCGAGAGGGATAAACTTGGAACAATCCTTGCGTTTCCGGTTCAAAGCTTCAAACACTCAAGCTGAGTATGAAGCTCTATTGGCCGGATTAAGGCTGGCCGAGGACATGGGCGCATCAAGAATCAAATGTCGGACCGACTCCAAAGTGGTGGCCGAGCAAGTTGGCGGAAATTTCCAAGTAAAGGACCACAACATGATGAAATACTATCATGCCTATCAAAAACTGAAGGCGAGCTTTCAGGAGGTGTTGGTCGAGCACATCCCGCGCGACGACAACGCCCGTGCCGATTAGTTGGCGAGGTTGGCCGCGACCAAGAAGTCAGGCCATTTGAGAACAATCATTCAACAAGAGATCGACCACCCCAGTGTCGAGGCTGAAATGGTAGCAAGTGTCAATGCCGACCTGGCCGACCCTGACGACCCCCCAGATTGGCGAGACGAACTCAAGGCATTTCTCACTAGCGGAATCACATCAGTCGAACCGACCGAGGCCAAATGGTTGAGAACTCAAGACAGTAGATACGTCGTAATTGCCGGCCGATTGTATAAACGTGGCTTCTCTACCCCGTTGCTTAAATGCCTAAACCCCGCCGAGGCCGATTACGTGATGAGAGAAGTACACGAGGGTATTTGCGGGATGCACTCAGGAGTTAGGACGACCGTCTCCGAACTCTTGCGAGCCGGGTACTATTGGCCAACCATAAACACTGACTGCGCAATGTTCGTGAAGAAGTGTCAATCGTGTCAAAAGCATGGCAACATGATCCATCAGCCGACCGAATAGTTACATTGCATTCCCCCAGCATGGCCATTCGCCACTTGGGGGGCCGACATACTCGAACCCTTCCCGGTTGCCAAGGGGCAATGTAAGTTCCTCATCGTCGCCGTTGACTTATTCACCAAATGGATCGAAGCCGAGCCCTTGGCGTGTATCTCGGCTCATCAAGTCCAAAAGTTTATGTGGAGGAATATCATCACCCGGTTCAGTGTCCCACACACTCTTTTGACCGACAACGGCTTGCAATTTACCGACCGAAAACTAAACGAATTCCTAGCCGGCTTAGGAGTGCAGCACAAGGTCACGTCGGTCGAGCACCCACAAACGAACAGTTAGGCCGAGTCAGCCAACAAGGTAATCCTTGCCGAATTGAAGAAACGACTAGGGGAAGCAAAGGGAGCATGGGCCGAGCAGCTGCCTGAGGCATTATGGGCCTATCGATGCACCCCCCAGTCAACCACGCAAGAAACACCTTTCCGTCTAGTCTATGGGTCCGACACGATGATCCAGTGGAAATCGGAGAACCATCATTCCGCCGAGCCCACTTCGACGAAGCAAGCAACGAAGCCGAACTCCAAACAAACCTAGACATGGTAGAAGAAATTCGTGACCGAGCACTGGTCGTGGCTGAGGCCACCAAGCAACGCTAAAAAAGAAGATTCGACAGCAAGGTGAAGCCTAGAGAATTCTGAGAAGGAGATCTCGTTTGGAGAGCTACAGGCGAGGCGAGAAGGGATCCGAGACAAGGGAAGCTCGCCCCAAATTGGGACGGACCATACCACGTCCGACATAACCTAAACAACGAAGCATACAAGCTGGACCGACTCTTTTTTCCCTAAGTAGGGTTTTGGGTCGGCAAGGTTTTTAACGAGGCACTCAATTAATAAAAAGACGTTTTTGAATGTTGTTATTACATTTCCTATTTAACTGTACGCCTACGTTTAGGTCGTGAACATGCAGGTCTGACCTCAGATAACGCTTACCGACGCCGAGCAACCCTCGACCGACCACTCAAACGTGCATGCGAGCCCAACAGGTTTCCCTCCCGAGTAACCTCCTCGATTAAGGATGTACCTACGCCGAGCACTACATGCTTATGTACCGACGCCGAGCAACCCTCGGCCGACCATTTAAACGTGCACGCGAGCCCAACAGGTTTCCCTCCCGAGTACCCTCCTCGGCTAAGGATGTACCTAAGCCGAGCACTACACATTTATGTACCAACGCCGAGCAACCCTCAGCCGACCACTCAAACGTGCACGCGAGCCCAACAAGTTTCCCTCCCAAGTACCCTCCTCGGCTAAGGATGTACCTGGGCCGAGCACTACACACTTGCGTACCAATGCCGAACAATCCTCGACCCGATACTCACATGTCAATCACACTCGCATAATCCAACACTCGACGTTAAAAAGCAAAAGGTAGGGCCGAGTACGTTTAACCCGAAATATCATAACCCGAACGTTCGCGAACAGAGCACTGTAGGTTTATTATAAAACACGTAATTGACCCCCCTCGGTCAAGGGTGAAGTCGGTTCATTTTATTAACAGGTTAGATAAACATGAAAAATTAAAAAAAGATGTTCATTAATTATGGCCGAGCAAAACGGCTACTTACAAAAAAACAAATCAGTCTATGCACTGACACCAAAGGCCGAGCTTACAAAAGGCGCTGACGGCCCGGTTACAAAAAAGAGCAAAGTCCTAACCCTAGCCTAACATTACCAGAGCCGATCCCTATTCTGCTGCCGGCGTCGGGGGATTCCCGTCACCGACCACATCTATAACCAGATCTTCCTCCTTGGTCGACTGCACGGGAGCTCGGCTGGACATACCCTGGCGAGGAGCCTCGGCATCAGGCTGAGCCCCTTGAGGGAACTCAGCATAGCTCATAAACTTACCACCTAGGAAGTCTCGGCTAACGTCAAACTAAAAGTCAGTCGGGACCTCACA